TCCCTTTTTTTGAATCTGACCCCAGTGCCAACCCAAGATGTCCTGGCCACTCCGAGGCCGTGGGCACCCCAGCCTTGGTCAGGAATGCAGAGATGGCTCCTAACCAGCTGCACTCAGCTTTCTGAGCCAAGCCTGCAGTGACAGTGGCTGTGTTTTGAGTCCTCCTTATTCATGAATTACAGGGAGGGGGCAGATTGTGTTTAACCAATTTACTTTAAGTACTCCTTTAAATATCAAGATTTCTTTCAGTGTTACTGGAGCCACATTGTCTGTCTCGTTTGGCTGCTGCCCTGCACTGTGCAAATGAAGCAAGCATGACTCATCCTTCTGGATGGGTTTCCTCTGGAAAGCCAGGAGGGTTTTGGTAGTGCCAGATCCTGAGCCAGGCAGTGAAGTGTGTGGCTTGTGATAATGCTGTAAGGAACCAGCAAAGCCCAAACACCCACAGTGTTCCAGCTCTGCCAGCAGCACTTTTTGTGGGAGTGGAACACTGAGGCTGGTGTGTGGTGGTCATCACAAGTGTGATTATTCCTGAGATCTCTTCTGGGTATGATGGAAGGGGTTGGGATAAATCTCTATACAAGAGTAAAAGGCTAGAGGACCTGCATGCTGGCTGCATGGGCTTTGTTTTGCCTGCAGTAGGAGCAGTAGTTTGATGGGGAAAGCACCTGACATTGTCATAACTCGGTTTTTAACCTGACTCTGGGCACAACCTTTTGAGAATGTGTTTCAGAATTGGGCTACCTGACTTTTTTTTGTTGTGTTTTGTGGGGTTTTTTGGGATTTCTTTTTGGTTTTGGTTTGGGTTTTTGTCTTTAAAAAGACAAAAGAGAAACCTGCCTTCTCATCAAATGCAGGGTGCAGGATTGATCAAATCTAAGTGTCCTGTAGTGAATTGTGAAAGGGAAATCAATACTGCAGTTAAAAGTGAAAATTAGAATCTGGGACTGTATTTCCAGTCTGGTCCTGGCCTTTTCCTATATTTGAAAAAGCATTCCCTCTATTGTTAATGTTTTTTGACATAAATACAAGTTTTGTCCTTAAATCATAGAGTCACAGGCTGGTTTGGGCTGGAGGGACCTTAAAGCCCATCCAGTGCCACCCCCTGACATGGGCAGGGACACCTGCCACCACAATAAGTCTCTTACCTTGCAATATCACTGCTTGGACCCTCCTATTTCCTACTATAACATTTCTACCTCTAAAGTCTGTGGTTTCAGACTGTTTACAATTGGGAGATGACTGTCCCAACCCTGATTGTCACCATCTTTAGATGAGCAATGGGGAGGGGCATTTAAAACAATTTTTGGATTTATTCTTCACACATGGAATGGCTTGAACTATTTCCAATTCCTACTGAAGTCTAGTTTAGGTTGGTACTATAACATTCACACAGCAATTTCATACATCAAAGAGCAAAAGTCATGAAAGCAGGAACTTGGCTGAGGAGCCTGAAAATCCCAACAAATAGCTGAGGGTGCTGGGAATGTCTTTGAGAGGTGATGCAAACCCTGGGATCATTTGAAAGAGTCATCATTTTGATGTGGTTGGTGATAAAGTTTTTCCTTTGGGTAAGAACTGAGTACAGTGATTTTGGTCCAAAAAACCAAAAACAGGGGGGAAAGGTGCAGGTGGCACAAGGGTTGGAAGTGACAGCCTGTGCTGGCATGTGGATGGAGTTGGGGGGTTGTAGATTTATTACTGGTGTATGCAGCTCCTGGAACAGGATTATCTTGCAAATGGGAATAAGAAGTTAGTGCTGTTAAGCCAGCAGGTGTTCAGTGGGTCACAGCTCATGGGCCTGGTGTAACCACAACTGCACCCAGAGGAGCTGTTGGAGCAGAATGGGGTAAAGTGCAAAATGCTTTCCCCTGCACAGCTCCTGTGCTCCTTGTTCTGCTCAGCATTGGCACAAGAGGAAAACAGCAGTCTCTTGTGATCGCAGTGGTGACAGGGATGCTGTACAATTCACCTGAGGGATGCCACAGCAGCTCCTGATCTGCTCAGCTCTGGTTTCAGCATGGAGCATTTGCTGACAGTAACGGGAGACACAAGAAAAGTATTTTTGAAAGAGCCTTCCAATTACCTTGTCTGGATTTATTTGCTGACAATTAAAACCGGTTGCTCTGTGACACTGAAAGTGTAATCCACCACTTGCCATCATTCAGGTGTCAGCTGTGTACATGTGGCAACCCAGACCCACTTCTCCACACACATACCCCTAGAAAGCATGAAAATGATACACAGCACTGAAGTGACCTTCCCAGTAGGAATAAAAGCTGTGGATGGCAGCAGCTTCCTGGGGCTTCAGGTTTTATGAAGTCTGTGTCAGGCTTTGGGACATGACTGTGGGTGAAGACAGGATGTGTGCATGCTGCTGCCATCCTGGGAATAGCAGGACGTTGTGGGGATGAATCCCAGCAAAACAAGTCCCAGAGCAGCACAGCCCTGCACACATTGGGTCTTGGGGGACTAATAGACCAGCAGGGTTGAAAAATTCATGTCAGAATAAATTAAGTCATAAAAGCATTACAAAGAGATAGGTTTACGTAAACAAAAGTTCACAGAATCCCAGGACAGGTCAAGCTGCAGGGGATCCATAAGGATGCTTGAGTCCAAAACCCTGATCCTGCCAGGAGCACCTAAAATGAAACCAAAGGACCAAGTGTTGTCCACACACTCCCTGAACTTGGTGCTTCCCTGGGGAGCCTCTTCAAGGCACTGAGCAGCCCCTGGGTGAGGAACCTTTTCCTAATGTCCCACCTGAACCTCCCCTGAGGCAGCTTTGTTCCATCTCCTCGGGTCCATTGCTGGTC